GAATCAGTGTAAACTACATGTTTTATAAACAAAAAGGTGCTAAATACAAATAAGCAACAAAAATAAATATATCAAAAAAAAAAATCTTCATATATAAAAAAATAAATTGAAATAAAAACCAACAAAGAAAATATTTCAACAAACAGGAAACAAGATTTACCTTTCGCTCCAAATAAACAATACAAGAATATCAAAAAAAAAATAAAAAATAATAATGAAAACCTATTACAAATTGCTAAAAACCCTCTTTGTTAAGCAGCTTAGAATATATCTCTACACACTCCACACTATCTGTGCAATCCAATGAAAGAATGCATATTTTCGGTGAGACCCTAGTAAACGCCAAATGCAGCTAAAAGAAAAGTAAAGGAAAACAGTAGGTAGACAAATTGGCACCATTAAATAAATATAAATAAAAATTAAAAACGAAAACGACCAAAAAAAAAGAAATTCTATTAAGAAAAACTATTTAAATATCTCTGCATTCACAAATAAACAGACATACATGACTACATAGAGATACAAAGATACATAGATACAAACATAATCACCTCACGTAAACGAAATAAATAAAAAAAATCATGAAATGAAATGAAATTCTTAATTCGTTGAGGGCGAGTCAAAATCCAAAAGACTAAGAAGAAGAATTCTTTTTTTGTACTCGTATATTTTATGGACTAATGGCAAGCAAAATAGGCAACAGATGTGCTTTAAGCCGTGTTAAGAACAAAATAACAACAAAACATATTCTAAGCCATAACATACATAACAAATATATGTATATATATATATATACAATCAGTATAAATATATACATAATATATTTATAAATATATAATTAAAAAGATACGCACAGTAAATGCTTTGAGGTATGAGTAACAAAATATTGACAGACAAACCGACGACAAACGGACAGACAGAAAAACTTATATTGGACATGCGCGCTGCTATGGCTCACTGACTGCTGACTATTTGTAGGTATGTTATGTGAATAAAATATTAAAATTTGAAAACAATACAACAAAAGCAACAAAACAATCAAAGTATCTGTTGCTCATTAGAAATGTGCTCGTATACGGACCGCTAGAGATTCATTCAGTTTGCTTACTTGCACAGCTATAATTACTGAATTACTTAGGTGAACTTAGCATAATGCAAGGGCAATGAGCACCGAACACCGTGCACTAAGGAACGATGAACGAGCAATGAGCAACACAAACAACAAACAATAAGCAACAAGCAACAAGTATCTATCGTTCGACAATAAAACAATATTAATACACACCATTGTGTTAGGAAACGTATTTAGTATCTGTTATCTTTAGTAGATGTGCACATGTGTGTGACTGAGTCGTGTATTAAGAAACCTGTCACGACGTCCAAATGTCTAGCAGTACCGCAACCACAACAAATAACCTTAGGCACAAGATTGAATTCTCCCTCATCTCATATGGCACTGCATAGCATGAATGCATCTCTGTTAAATGTGGTGTAAAGAAATTTATCTGGAAATTTTTTAAAATTAAATATATGTATTTACTCGTATAAAATCTCGTAAAAATTCTTTTACTGCAAATTTTACTACTGTTGTAAAGAAATTTCCCAAAACAATTGCCACAACACTACTTTGGAAAAACACACGCCTTTGTGTATTTCCAAATTTCCCAAGAGATTAGATTTGTGTATTGTATATGCCCTCCCGAAAGTAGCCCAGACAATCTGTCATCCTATTTTTGCAATTTACCTGTTCAAATGTCACTCACAATCGCCGCTGTTATTGGTATAGCAAAGGTGCGTGAGGGTGTGAGGATTTTAGAAATCATAAATGTTACGCTTGCGCGCATTTATAAGGCATAGGTAAGCCCATAACGTAGATCGGGAAATTTTTGCAATTAAAACGATCATAAATATGTAATGAACAGTTTTGTTTATTTTGTGGGATTTCCCAAATTTAACCAAATACTTTATATATAAAAAAAACCAAAGACCGCGGAAAAAGGTTTAACATCGTTAAGTCAAGGCTAGATATGCAATAAAATATAATAGAAAAAATATGAAATCTAGTTATGACTTTATGAGGCCATACACACAAGGACATGATGTAATATTGCCTTCTTAACTTTATAATTTCATAAATATAGATTATTATAATAAGTTAAAGTTATATTTTTGTTAATATTAGTTTATGAGCTTTTTTTATATCTTTAATATGCATACTATTCTTATATTGTATATATTATATTTATTTCATTTCATAATTGAAAAATATATATTAAGATATAGATTATATAAGGTTATAACAATCAATGATCCAAAGGTTTTATGATCCGAGATCTAATTTCATTATTTTACGGGAACTACTTAGGTCTAACTGTTGAAAGTTGTAGTATAAAACTTGAAGAGTTTAAAACTATTTCAAATTCTTAAAAGATTCTAAAATGATTATGACATTTAGACAAAAAGAACCAAAGTAATTACATCTGAAGTTATAGCTCCTAATGTTATCGAAAGAATTTTTTGGGTATCTTGTACTTCCCGCAAACACTTTTAAAACACATTAATTTTTTAAACCTATGTTTTCGAAGAGCTGAACTCTTCATATTAGAAGTAATAGTTTCTTATCTCAGCAAACCTACTATAAAATTGACAGAGTTAAGAGTAAATTCAAACTCCTAGCATGATTTACTAATCAATAGATACCCTTCAGTATACTATATTATATTATACTCACTATTAAACTGATATCTATAAGGATCCATCGCAATGAGAGTATTAAATTTGATTCTTTTTAAGATTTTATTGATCGTTCCCATCTTGTATATAAATGCTTTAGTTAGGAAGAATTCAATAATTACATAAATGATAGTAACCGATTGTTAAGATTTACTAGATATTTGTCTTTAAGTTTATATTATTATATATAATAAACTGTAAAATAAATTAATTAATTTTTTATTTTTATTATTAATTTTTTTAAACCCGTTTAATATATAATATTATTATAAGATATTTTTCATATAGTTTTTAATATTTTTTTTTGTGTCTAAATATTTTCTTATATACTTCTACAGTTTGTTTTTATGTTATTATATTTTTATTATCTAAAATTAATTTTATTTATACTCTTAAATATTTTATGTATTATGTATAGCTATATTTTAATTATAATTATATATTTATATATATATATATGAAAAATAATTTATTGAATTATAAAAAGAAAAAAGTAGTAAAGAAATTCAGCTACAGAATTTCGTTATTGATAAGTATTTATAAAAAAAATTGTCGAAAAAAAAACAAAAACAATTACTGAGTATATATTAAATGCTAAGGCTTATGCATTTTTATTAAAAATTTAAATTCCAGAACTCTTTGGGATCTTGTGTTTTTATTAAAATAAATCCATGACATGAAGAATTGGAACTAGTCTCTAAGAAAATTTGGGTATACCAACAACAATGTGTGTTTTGGTAGATACATAATAAGAGATAATATAGTAAGAGTAATTCTCTAAAATATAGAGTTATAAGGAGTTGGGTTCGTGATATCAACCCCTAGTTGCAAATTTTAATTAAGAATTATGAATGAAAGTATTTTATTCTTTATTTGTGAACAATTATCCTCAAATTAGATATGCTAGAATTGGGCTTCAAACCTAAAATATGCGGGATTTCTAATAGAATAAATAAATATACACATATCCATTAATTGTGAAATAATTATGTGCATAAGACGACCATATTATTATCACAAAGTAATCAAAAATATTCTACATATATGTAATATCTCGTATTCAATTTTAATTTAACTTCAGAAAACATAATAATGAATAGTAGAGAATGTGTCTTTTTTTATTATTAATTTTTTAAAATTTTTAAATAATTATATAATGAGGATATAGATATTCCTTACAATAAAAGACAATATTATTTTTACAAATATAAATTTGTAATCAAAACCTAAAGCCACAAGGTTAAAAAAATGTCGAAATTGATCTTAATTCTAAACGTTGAAGAAATATTAGATTAAAATTTTTTTCTGTTAATATATACTTAAGTATCTATCTACAATAATTTAATTGACATCAAAAAATCTCGCGATAAGCTATTCTAATCACCTTTGGTTTAGTGACTTTAGTGACATATATTCACTAATAACTATATATAATATCCATATTTATATCAACCAGATCCATGAGAATTTTGTTTTTTAACCTTGTGAGGATATTTAATGATTTGAACAGTTTAACCTAACTTAAGTATTTATTATGAATATTATAAGAATATCATAATATTATAATATTCAAAATATTCAAAATATTAAGAACATCATAAATTTTACTTTTAAGGAACAATACTAATAATAGCACATAATGTTAAGGATATAATAATTAAAAAGAAATACTAACAAATCAAATTCCTGCAAGTCCCAATCAATTCAACTACATTGGAAGATATCAATGTCTTATACTTGCACTCGTATATACATACAACAATATATCTCAGGAAACTATTAGAAGTTAATACTAACATTTTGTAGATGTTCTTTAATCGCATGAACAAAATTTCACCGATCTATATACCTAAACATTCAATATTAAATAAAACAGTTCGCATGCTCTAATAGGATTTATGGACTCATGTCCACATAATTCCAATAATTTCCTGATCATTTCTTATTATAATATTTTTTTAAAGCGTAGATATATTAATTAAGTCATTAAAGTTTAATTTTAATTAAATATTTGTAATCGAATGTAATTCCCTCAAATCTCACTTTCTAACTGAAATCGTAATCAATCAATTATGTCCAATAAAACTACATGAGCCCCAACTTTAAATTACGATATTCAATAACGTATAACGTATATAACATATTATATTATATGTACTTTTTTTAATAGTGATAGAAAAATAAATAAAACTATACAAAATAATGAATATTAAAATGAATATAAAACTAAATAAATAGTATAAAAATAAAAGAAGTTTTTGACTTACCGGCTGGCCTGTTATTGCGGCGTACTGGTTCTTCCACAATTAACGGAGAATGTCGTCTAGCATTGACAACAGTTGTTAGGCAAAGTAAGGCGAATATGATGAATTTGTAGAAGAATGTGGATGTTGATGTGGAGTTGAATGCAGTGGAGGAGGAGGAGGAGGATGATGATGTGGTGGCTACCGTTGCATCTCGAAATTTGGAGTTTTGGTGCAATCTTGTATTAAGCATTTTTGTTGTTGCTGTTGTTGGAGTTGTTGTTTGTATAGCCATTTTATTTTATTTTTTTTTATTTTTTTGATTAATATATTTTAATACACTTTTTTTTGTAATTTTAAAAATTTATTTAATTATTAATAGAAATTATTAAATATTATTACTTAGCACTCATATACACGCACTATAAATTTTTTCTATTAAAAATTTATTTACTATTAATTTTTTTCTTAACTTCTTTGCAAAAATAAATTATAGTAAAATGAAAACAACAAAAAATGAAAGATTAGATAACAAATTTTGTGCAAATTATTTAATTATATTTTCGCTTTTATTTTTAATATATTTTTTTGTTTTTTTTTCTATTTGATATTTGTACGTTGTTTTACCGAAAGCGCAGAAAAAATCAACTTGAATTTGAATTTTTGTAATAACAATTATTATTTTATTTATTTTTTATTTTAATTTTATTTAATTGAGAGTTATATAGCCAGTATTGTTGTTTTTGCTTCTTATTGTTCTTATTGTTATTGTTAATTAATTATTTGTCTTAAATTGTTGTATCTTTCGCTGGCTATTGGCTGTTTGACTGTTGCACATTCAAGCACTTTACGATTTTGTTAAGTTTATTTTGTTGCTATTTTACGCAATTTTAGTTCATGTATAAATAAACACATAAATAAATATATATATATATAAATGTATCTATAGTTGTATTTTTTTGTTAAACAATTCTTTTGTATGTTTCTTTAAATAAACTTGAATGTTAACAATTTTTACGATTTTTGCGATTTTTCATAAAACGCGAGACGTTTTGCCGTCGTCTTTTTGCCGTTGTGACTTTCTGTCTCAAAAGTATCTCGCGGTTACGGTAAGAACTGCAATGACAGAAAAGCTCAGTTCAACTTAAACTAAAATATAAATAAAGTAGCGAAATTCTTTATTAAAACGCGCACATGTATTTTTGCAAACAAAAACAGAAAAAAGTTTAAGTTATCTACGAACTTCAAATTGTTTGCATTAAGTTCACGCAAAAAAAAACAGCGAAAAAAAGTCAAACTTAAAATTTAGTTCACTGCATTTAAATTTCACTTTAGTATCTTAAACTTTTTTATTTTTCACCAAAAAAACAGAGATTTATAATTGTAAGAAAATATACTTTATACGTATATGTCTGTATATATATCTATCTATGAAATATTTTTCTAATGTTTGTCGTGTGTTACTTTGCGAACGTTTCGGAAAATAATGTCCACACACGGGATCGGTCGTTGAATAAATAAACTAACGAGCGCACATTGAAAACTCTTTACTGTGCGATCGTTCGGCCGGTTGTCGGTATAAAGATACACAGATATTAAAAAAGATACTCAGCTAGCTACATACGGTCTCTGCTTTATCGACGCTGACGTCGGCGCTTGTTATAGTTTGTCTTGTTGTTATTGTTATTGTTGTGGTTGTTGTTGTTAGTGTTGTTGTTGTTGTTGGTGTTGCTTATGTATTTGCACTTCGCGTTTTTACGTTCGGCCGTCGTTTGGCTCGTATCTGTATCTGTTATATCGTTGAGCAATGAATGAATATGAGTGCGCAAATGGCAAAAGTATCTCGATGGTGTTGTTGTTGTTCTCGACGTCGTCGTCGTGTGCTGTTATGATCAACGGCAGATGACTTAAACAATAAAAGAAAAAAAAAACAACAATAATAAAATAAGAAATATTAAATAAAAACACAAATCACAACAAATTGTATATAATTACTTAAGCACATGTGTATATGTATGTGCATTGTATAAATATGTTTATAAACATAAGTTGTCTTGCAAATACACACAAACCGCTAAGTAAATGTTGCCAAACCAAAATATGCAAATAAATGTTGCTGAGCTATCAGTTTAAATATGTGGGTGAAAATTAACAAATCCTAGAGGCAAACAAATGTTGCTAACGAATTTAGAAATAAGTAATTTATTGTTGCTAAGAGCTATCATTTATAGATAATGATACATTGATGAAAACTTAATTCAGTCAAGTCAATTTGAAAGCTAATATTTATTAGATGGCAGTCTAAGTAACTAGAAACTAAAGCCTATTTCTTTCGCACGAAAAATTGACATGAAAACATATATAAAAAAGATATATACGATATAACTTCAGGTGAATACTGCTATCTAAAACAAATCTGCGAAAATGAGCTTAGCGGTAAATCAGGATAAAACGTAGTATATGTTTCAACGCCGATCTGGTGGCTAGCAACTACACTTTAAAATATGGGAAGGAAATCATTTACCTCGGCACCGCTGTAACAAGCAACAACGATGTCAAACAAAGAGTCATCATTCCCAATAGATGCTACTATGGACTTAATAGCCAATTAAAGTGTAGAACTCTTTATTGACAGACAAAATATACGTTCTACAGGTCGCTCACCAGTATTGCCCAAACGTGCTATTATGGGTTCAGTAGGCAAATGGGATGAGGTGCTTTTCTTGACAGACCAAACTTACGCTTTATATGATGCTCATTCTACGTGTGCTTCTGTATGACGCAAAAGCATAGACGCTGTCAGAGAAATATGAAGCAGCACTGAGAGTCTTCGAGAGCAACATTTTTTATATGATCTATTGGAGACGTTCGCATCCTTATGAACCACAAGCTGTACGAGCTTGATAATTAAAATTATTATGGTTTGATAATTAGCGTGATAATTAAAATAATTCAGTGAATCAAATTTGAAGCGATAGTTGGAAGAAGAAGGCGTAGAGGTAGACCTCGTTTCCGGTGGAGTGCTCAAGTTAAAGTAGCACTAACAGCACTTGGTGTACGAGACTGGAGAAGGTGCCCTTGTAGTAGAGACGTTTGGAGAAACATGCTGCGTCAGGCGAAACGACCCTGCAACGGGTCGTTATGACCATTTAAATAAGTAAGTAGTTTAAAAGTACTTCTAATCATTAAAAATTTTTGTACTTGCCTAACTTATACCAGAATTTTTTTAAACTATTTTATACCTATGGAAAAATTTTTATTAAACTAAATGAGAATTATAAGCTTATGAAAATTTTTATATGATGACAAAATTGAGATTAAACACCTAAATTAATATATTTTTTAGTTTTCTTTATATTATAAGTTTATGAAAGTTTTTATATGATGATAAAATTGAGATTAAACACCTAAATTAATATATTTTTTAGTTTTCTTTCAAAATCCCAAAATATATCACTTCATACCGTTTATATCCATTAAGACATCAACCAAACTTAAGTGTATGCTTAAGTATTATCTAAAACGTATTTTCACAGTTCTTATGTGAAATCTCAACAATAAATTTTGAAAACCGGAACAAAATGCAATTTTCAGCATTGGCTATGCCACATGTAAAATGATTTTTTATGGCTTTAGTATTCATTCAAAGCAACTATTGCTGTTAAATAAAACATTCACATACTCGTAAAGTTCAAAGACTTAATTTTTCATTTTTATAATGGAAATAAACTCTATTAATTAATAATTTTTGTTTTAGCTTCCTATTGCATAAAAACGCATTAAACATATATATACATGTTGCGAACGATGAAATGGGCATAAATGCATGATTCATACACACAAACGCACACACATTTGCGGGCATACTTCACTAACGAACAAACTCTTCTTGCTTCTTAGTGGCACAACAAGGAATAGTTCAGCATCACAGCTCAACACAGCACAGCACAGCACACCACACCACACAACAGCGCCGACAATTTTAATTGCTTCGCCAATTAATTTGCATGTAAACACAAATTGATCGCAGTAGCAGCGAAGTTGGTATAGTAGCAACAGCAAACAACAAACAACACTAACAACAACAACAACGACAATAGCAATAGCAATAGCAATAGCAATATTACAGTAAATAGTAAGAAGCTCCTGCATGAGCTATTGCTGCTGCTTCACTTTTCTTATTATTTTTATTTATTTGCTATTTTATTGACGGTTTTGTTTTTGTTTTTGTTTTTTTTTTTGTGCTGATATTATTGTTGTTTGTTATACTCCCAACACTGCTGTTGCTGCCTCTTGTTGTATCCTCCTGTTTACTGGCAATGCAACATGTTGTCAATTGACTAATTTGGATGCCTTAATGCTAATGTCGTCGTTATGTGCTACGTTTTTTTTTGTTCGACGTTAATTTCATTTCGCTGTTGCTTACTCTTCTGTCTTACCATTGCATACATGCCACCACCAACACTCAACCACTCGCACACGCCTTTGATGTCGATGTTCATGCTTTTTTTTGTATTATTTTTATTTTTGTTTAATTTTCAGTTTTCAGTTTTACTCATACTTGTCGATGATGAATTTCTGTAGCAACATTTTACTCTTCTTGCACACATTTAATGCATGTTTGTGCTGCGAAAACGTTGCGACGTATGAAGAACAACGAAACAGCCAAACAACCAAACAACCAAACAAGTAGGTAAGTAAATTCAATGTTGCGGACAAGTCAGCAAGGTGCTGATGTGTTGGCAAATATTAAGCGTAGCACATCAACTCAAATTCAAACACATATCCGCACAAAAACAACAACAATTATAATATTAAAATTAACAAGAACATAAAAATAGAACATTAAGGATAATAGCAATATTAAAATAAATATGTAGTGAAAAAATGAAAAACACACAGACACACACCATAATCAAAAAGAGTTTGTGCATCGTAGATGCCGTAGTTGAGTTTCCACTTTAATGTTTATATACATAATATAAAGCAACATACGATCGCGGCTAAAGGAATAGTAATTACAGTGAAAACAACACAGAAGTCAAATTTGAAACTGTGCGATTGACTTAATAAATCAAAGACAAAATTTGTTGTTGCTTTGTTTGCTTTTGTTTATTTTTAATTGAAATATAGTAAAAATGTAGGAACACAGAGATGAAAATAAAACATCAAAATAAAATAATTTATATATAAAAGATATAAATTTCGTTCCACAGACATTTATGAATGTCGAAACCAGTCGTCGTCTGAATTTTGCTTTACGCATTAAAATAATAGCAAAAACAACTTTTAGTTAAAATTATTGGAAACGTTCACATT